CAACGCAAGCAGCCGTCCTATTCTTTTTTTTTATCTCACGTCTTGGTGATATCACGACTGCAGCTCTCGTCTTCGTACGCATGGCGAACTCATTTCGCACCGTACGTAGCAGCCAACCGTGCAAATCGTCCTCTCGGATGTGAGCTCTCCTTCGGATGCCACTTTCTCTCATTCGCCTCAGCGACCGGACATCAGAACCGGCCCTAGACCTTTGGGGGCCCTAAGCAAAATTTGGTTGGAGGCCCCTTTGATGTATGAGTTTTTCACCCACTAGCTAGCAGTGACTCTAGGGGGGCCCTCTGCTGGCCACGGGGCCCTTTGCACTTGCAAAGGGCAATCATCATCAGGTGTGAAAGAAAATGTTCTCACGACGTTTCGACTGCAACACAAGCAATCATCATCATCAGGTGTGAAAGAAAATGTTCTTGCTGTGGATTTCACACCTGATGATGATGATTGCTTGTGTTGCAGTCGAAACGTCGTGAGAATTTTCTTGTTTTATATATTTTTTATTTTATTATTTCCCTTCTACGTGACTTTACAGAAAGAAGCAAGACTGTGAGTGAAATGTTCCCTCGGTTTAGCCAGGGACGCTTCACGACAAGGGATGATGTTAAATGTAGAGTCAAACAAATCACGTGAGCAAGATGAAAACTGTTCAATACCTCTGGATAAACACAACGTTATAGGTCAGAGTCTGGAAAAAGACTATAATACATATTAAATATCACTGTGCTCAGCACTTTTAGACTACGGAATACAAAATATTGTGTTCATTGAAAATTGATGCGAGACAAATACCTAAATAAAAACGAAATGGTATTTGGGAATAATAAAAACGATTGATGAAAAATGGAAAAGCTGCACTGAGATTACACGAAAAAAGTAACGAAATTAATTCTAAGTGGCTGTAATTATATTTATAACGCTTAAAAAATGGAGCATTTATAAAAGCCCAAATTTTTCATAAATTTTCTACTTTGAAATACAGTATGTAATTTCTTAATTACATATTACAATTTTTGGCAGGTGTTTTTTTCTTCCTTTCTACAAATATATAAATGTACCTAACAGACACGTTCGTCTGCCGGGTTATAACCGCCAACCTATGACATAATTTAAATCCGAAAATTTAAAATTCAACAGCCTAAAAGTTTATTTCAGGACTTCTCCATTCGGCGAACACGCAACACAGCGGGCACATTCCCACCGTTATTTATTTACTTATCATCCCTCCCCCCCCACAAAAGAAGGCAGAGAGAGGCAAAGCAGTAAGGGGGACGCCCCGTGGTAAGTGGGAGCGAATCAGTGGTGAGTACCGATAACAGCAGCCCATAGAGTGCAGCAATATTTAACCCACTCCTATGCGGACCTTTCGACAATCTCTAGCCGGTTGCTTTTCCAGGGGGAACCCTCCACCCATAAAAGCGTGTAAAAAAAAGAAAGCCCTCCCCCCACCCCCCCAACTCACATCCACAGCGCACGAACAGCAAACGACCTTCGAACACATTGACCCCGTGTCGCACAGGTGAGGATGGTTGTTCGCGTCGTCACGTCCTCACCACCGCTGCTCTCTCCTGGCCCGTCTGTCTCTCAACAGGTGCGTCTTGTGCCTTGCCGTGCTGTACGTGGTGGTGGCGGTGGTGATGTTCGTGCTGTTCGAGCGCGTGTGGCTTTTCGCATGTGCGCGCAGAGAGGTCGCTATGGTTTGTTGGGCCAGTGTTTTTTTTGTGTGTGTTGAGAGTCTACGATTTGGAATTATAATAATCCGAGTAATGCGCGAACAGCTTGCCGCGTAATCCCATAGCAACCGGTGTTGCTAATATCCATTCATAGCAGATGTTGCCGCCGTGGGATATAGCGTACGTGCGTGTGCTGTTCGTGGTTAGTCGAGGCGGTCAATTTATACGACTTGTGAAGTGGCAGAGCTTTTTTGGACAACGCTCTCCGTTTAAATGCTACCCTAACGCCTCCTGAAAAAGATGTTGGCAGTAGTGAACAATGCAAATATGCGTTGGCAAGCCACGTATAAAAACATTTAATAAAGCAAAATTTCGATTTAAAGCTTTCGTGACTGCAGGGATTCATCTTCTTGGTTCTTTCTACGTGACTCTACCGAAAGAACCAATAAGATTTAATAAAGCAATTTCAAAAACACAAAGCATCTATCAATACAATTACTAATATACTGTATGGAATTTGGTTTAACACTTAGGCTTTTGCGACTAATACTAGCCATAATAGAGGTTTTTTTTTGTTAATGACTGGCGAAACTTCATACTCGAATTGTAAATGTTGTGGGTTTACTTACCGGCGTGCTGCTGTACTAGTCACGAATTGGCACGTTCTGTTGACGTGACAAACCTTACTAATTGGCTGTGTCGGGTGGTGGCGGGTTTAACGACACATTTACATTCACGCGCACTAACTCAAAAACCTCTCTCATGGACTGCATATACTTTACAGCTCTGTTTCAATCCCTGCTGGGGTCGGGGATTCCTTAGCAAACTGTGTTAATTTTTACGCCGAATGCGAAGTTGTTGAGGGGTGGCTACCCACTCACCAACTGCGGTTAGCCAGAGGTGGAAACTGACCTCTGCTGTAATACATCTTTTTTTTGGCTTAGATCGCGTAAATATATAAATGTGTCGTTAAACCCGCCACCACCCGTCGCAGCCAACTAGTAAGGGTTGTCACGTAAACAGAACGTGGCCAATTCGTCACTAGTACAGCACTAGTGTGTAGTGTAGTGTGTAGTGTAGAGTATAGTGTATAATGTAGTGTATAGTGTAGTATACTTGTACAGCACTAACCGGTGTGTTGGAGAGCCAAGCCACAACATTTACAGTCTGAGTACAACGTTTCGCCAGTAATTACAACTAGCTTCATCAGGGTGGTGGCGGGTTTAACGACACATTTATATATTTACGCTAACCCAAAAAAACCTGTATTATGGATGATATTGGTTGCAAAAGCCCACGGTGTTAAACTGAACTCTGCTGGTTTCTCACTCGAGTGCATTTGTCAGCGCTTTAAACGCCGATAATCATTACTGCCCTGCGTAGGGTGAGTGGTATTATATAATTAGACAAGAGTGAATAATTGTAAAATGCAATAATAATTAGCCTCAAATTAAAATAGTAATTTGCGAACACGGCAAATGGAAAATTTTCTGGGCGTACGGCTTGATGTTTTATTTCAAACATTAACTCATTTTTGGCCATTATGCTCCAGATAATTAGTTTTCGGGTTGCATTTAAGATTATCTATAAATGTAAATTGTCCTTTGTTATTAGAAAAGTAACATTACCGGGACACGTTGATAATAAATTTTATTAAAGAACATTTTGGAGCATCAAATTAAAGCAAACTCAACATTGCCAGCGCATTTACCGAGTCACCATTTCCTGTTAACCGGTAAGACTATAATAAAACAAAACATTTTACAAAAGAACAGAACATTCCACCCAGTTCATTGGCCCTATTGTGCCTTACATACTATCACATTTCTCAAGTGCGGATATGCATTACTGCATTAGAGTGTCGTCTTTATTTCCTGTTGAGAGTTTCCTCGGCCAGACCGATGGCTATAACAGATAGGGCATGAGAAATCAGCTCTTGAATGGCCGCAGTCACTCGTGAAACATCGCAACCATTTAAAAAAATATATCGCGCTTTCAGCTTCAGTGACACATTATTATCAGCGTGGACATTGTCAGTAAACTCCCGCGTTTCTCGTCGCTAGGGGGGCATCCATAGTCACAGAATTCCCTGTGGCTGTGTAAATTGTACACAGTGTACAGAGCAGGCTCTAGAGTCTAGAGCATTTAAACAGCAATCATCTCGATGCCTTTCTCTCAGCAATTGTGAGAGAGAGGCATGAAGACGATTGCTCAAGCCAACAGGAAACGGCCGACGGTCAATAAATATTTTTCACTTTCGTGGGACATTTATTGATCTGCAAGTATTTTTTTTTGCTGTTAAGATACAAAGCAACGCTACTTTTACTTTAGATCATTCTATCTTCATTGAACCTGATGGTTAACGCCTGCACACTACTGTACTTGTGCTGATTCCTCAAGATTGAGTACTTAACATCACCCTTTTCTACCAAGGCCTCATTACCGCTTATGATGTCTGCGTGATAATCCACGCTGCTAAATATGGTTTCAGCCATCATTTATAAATACTTTTTGAAAACTTGCAAATGCACAATTCTTGTTATGTAATTAATATACAGTTAAACCAGGGGGGGGGGGGGACACATCTCCCCCAATATAAAATGTCCCCCCCCCCAATATTTTGCTATAAAATACATTTCTGTTTATATTATTGTGGTTATGGTTGTAATTTATTAATCCCTAATCTCTGCCATTACATACAATGAAACAAGAAAAGGTAAAAAAGAAAAAAACAGAGCAATATAATACATTACACCATTAGACAGTATTGTAAAAAGTAAAAAAAAAGTCCATCCGATGTGTTAGTGAATGTTTTTTATATTTTAGGCAGGAAATTCGTTTTAAAATTTAGATTATTTATCTGGGGGGGGACCCCCACACCCCCTGGAAGATTTGGTCCCCCCCAATGTTGTTTCCATGGCTACGGCCTTGAGTTAAACCTCAGTTACTTGTCAGCAGATGAACTGGGTTGTGAAGAATTACTGTGCTTGAGGACAATGGACTCTAAATATAAGGGTATTTCATGCTCATTTTAACCTCTTACTTCTGACACGAGCTGCTCCTCACTCGTGACACAAGTTACCGATTTCTTTAAGAAACGATACATCATTCTACGTCTTCTTGGTTCTTTCGGTAAAGCCACGTAGTAGGGAAGTAATAAAATAATAAAAATAAAACATAATAACATAATTCTCACGACGTTTCGGCCACAACGCAAGCAGCCGTCCTCAGGTGAAGAACATGTCTGTCGATAAGACAGAGGACGGCTGCTTGCGTTGTGGCCGAAACGTCGTGAGAATTATTTTATTATGTTTTATTTTTATTATTTTATTACTTCCCTACGACGTGACTTTACCGAAAGAACCAAGAAGATGAATCCCTGCAGTCACGAAAGCTTTAAATCGAAATTTTATTATGTTTTATTTTTATTATTTTATTATTTCCCTTCTACGTGACTTTACCGAAAGAACCAAGAAGATGAATCCCTGCAGTCACGAAAGCTTTAAATCGAAATCATTCTACGTCTTCGTTCCCATTCTATGCACGCGTTACATCCTAATTTAGAAATATTTCACATCATCGGCGGTCTTGTTTTAACCCGGACCACTCGTCGCCACTATTACCCTGAATCATTTCAAGAAGTTGACTCTAATAGAACGCATATGTTTGACTCATTCAAACATAATGAGTTGTACTTGCTCTTACGACATATCCGGCAGTAGTTTATGAGGAAATTGAAATGCTAATTTGTCCTTACAAAATGTAGACACATTATTAATCTATTTACACTTCTAGGCGGAACATAGAACTCATGTGATTGCATTGTGCCTCTGCGTTCTACTTGCTCTTGATGAGTATCATGACATCCACTTTTAATGGAGTAAAAATATATATATTTTTTAAATAACACGTAAAAAAAGCCAAGGCACTTATCTGAAATATCAAGGAGTAATTGCTGGTTAGCAACATGTTTTTTATTTATGAACCATGGCATGGACTGTATTGTTAATATGCGTTTTACATCTTGTTTTAGGAAATATTAAATAATACCATCCGTTCGAAAGCAAACAAGCAAAAATGATACGGAAGACATTACACGTTAACATGTTTCAATGGAAGCTACCGTCTACCTGGAATTGAGTATTGTATCTTCTTTGCCATGTTTTAATGTGCATGCAGAAGCCAACATATGTTCAGTACACTGTGAGTGGAAATTAGAAAGTGTGAAGGGAGATTTACTGCATGCCAAAAGAATTGCCAAACGTCGCCACCTGAATCGAGACAGAATTTTGCACCAAAGCAAGTACTAAAGCCTTCAGGCACAGATAACTTGGCGAATTCAGGTTTGCAATAAATCTCAGTCACACACCACACACTGGCCATGGCATCAGACAATTCCCTGCGTCTGCTGCTGCTCTATTGCACGATGACAAGTCTCGTCATCTTCAGCTGCATCTACATGCAGAGCAAAGGGAACAACATCTCTGAGTTTCTGTTCCCAAGCCCCAAAGTGGTCAGATGCCACATTTTCTCAGATGAGATGTGCTTGGCATTGATGGAGGGACAAACCTTCACCGACGACCTCAGGGCCCATTGCCAGGAGATCCAAAGGCCCATCATGGCCATTGAGGAGAATGTCAATTGCAGTGCTTTCATTGAGAAGCAGAGCTACATCACGGAGGCACTGTCCAAAGAAGAACAAGATTTCCCACTGGCGTACATCATCACCGTTCACAAAGAGTTTGAGACTTTCGCCGTTCTATTTCGTAACATTTACATGCCACAGAATATTTACTGCATTCACGTGGATGTGAAGTCCTCGGAGAGCTTCAAGGAGTCCATGCAGAGACTGGCAGGCTGCTTCGACAATGTCTTCTTGGCCTCCAGGTCGGAGACGGTCGTTTACGCTGGTTTTTCGCGCTTGAAAGCCGACATCAACTGCATGCAGGACCTGGCGACCAGACCGACTCGCTGGAAATACGTCCTGAACCTGTGCGGTCAGGATTTCCCACTGAGAACAAACCAGGAGATCGTGCGGATCTTAAAGAACAAGTGGAGAGGGAAGAACATTACTCCGGGCATCTTTCAACCCCCTCATATGAAGTGGAGGACCCAGTACGTGTACAAGGAGGTCGTAGACAACGATAAGAAACAGATGATTAGGACCAATGTTGCCAAAGGCCCCCCACCGCACGGCATAAATCTGTGTTTCGGAACGGCGTACTACGCAGTGACCAGAGAGTTCGTGCAGTACGTGCTCGATGACAAGAAAGCGCAGGACCTGCTGGAGTGGTCTCAGGAGACATTCAGCCCCGATGAGCACTACTTTGTGACACTCAACAGCCTGCCAGGTACCAACACACACAGATTGCATGACATAGTACAACGTTTGTTGGCTACGTACGGTGCGAAAAAGAAGTTCAACGTACATGCATTCTTACTCTCACGGGTGTTCCCCGTCTCGGTTAGGGCCAGATTATCGCAGGCACTTTGAGTGGCTGTAGCCATCAGAGGTGGGACAAAGTCATTGTTATGCAAGTCCAAGTCGAGTCTGAAGTCATCAAATTCATGACTCGAGTCTGACTCGAGTCCAAGTCACATGACTCGAGTCCACACCTCAGAGGTGGGACAAAGTCATTGTTATGCAAGTCCAAGTCGAGTCTGAAGTCATCAAATTCATGACTCGAGTCTGACTCGAGTCCAAGTTACATGACTCGAGTCCACACCTCTGGTAGCCATACATACATACATAGACACACTGTGCTGCTTCATAATGATTGAAATGCAGGACCGTAGCACTCTTGATACATCCTAGAGGCGATGTGGAACTTGAAGCTATCGCATCACTGCAGTGTGTGTATTGCTGCCTAAGTTACGTGCCAGAATAAAATGCACCGTAGTTGTGTTCGTTTCAATTGATCTTGCGTCATGATTCGTGTGTTACGTTAAAAGTAAAACGATAAGAAAATAACAAAGGTAAGTAATAATAATAATGGCGGGGTGTTTTGCAATGGGCATGGAGTAGTGTTAAAACTGGCAAGGGGGGAAACTCTAACATGACAACCCCAGGCTCCCATAAAACCGAATCCTGGCACTGCCTCGATGTCCAAGTCTACCACCGTGTCGTGCAGCTAACGGGATCACCAACTTTCGATTTAAAGCTTTCGTGACTGCAGGGATTCATCTTCTTGGTTCTTTCGGTAAAGTCACGTAGAAGGGTAAAGAACCAAGAAGAGGGATCACCAACGTTTAGTTAATCCGACTTGGTCGAAACCTTCTTAACCTCTTGCAGATGCACCCGGAGCGAACACGGTCCCTAGCTGGAGGGGCAATACCCGTGCTGTCAAGTGGCGGGACGGTGAAAAAACTCACAAAGGTTGCAAAGGTCAGTTGTGGTGACGCCACGGGGGCCCAGGGGAAGGGGCTCTGTCCATTTGTAATGGATCTGGAACGCTGGCTTGTTGTTGTTGTCGTCGTGGTTTGGATCGGCCAACGCGATACCGAAATATGCATCCTGTTGCTGCAGACACACTGGGCGTGTGCCATATTACCCACAACACCTTGTTGATCTCGTCAAGGAGCATAAACCCATCACGTGAGCCTCCGTCATCCTCACAGCAGCGGCTTTTGGCTGGCCATCGAACAAAGACGGTCACCGCATCACATGCTTTCAGATGCGCTTCTGCGGCCGTCGGGAACACTCTTCTGATATTAGGAAGCCATTGGAGCTACGCGATTATAAATCTCGATTGAAAACTCATTTATTGAGAACTGCTTTTAGCATTTAGTTTGTTGTCCTCCCCACGCACTTCCGATTAGCACTTTAAATTACGGTCCTAGATGTACAGGACAAACTGTGATTTGTTTTCCACTTGTGTCTCTCAAATCCGATATCGTCAATTATTTAGCGAACTTGTTGAAGTCTACGACTTTTGTTTGTTCACATTTGCCTCGAGCCGAATAGATTGAATGTGACAGACCTCTCGTGAAACAATTAGAAAACAAATGAAGAAAGGACTTGGAGGGAACACAACGCAACGATGGCCGATTACTGTACATCATAGCAAGCAAAGGTGGCAAAAAGGAGTTTGATGATTGGCAAACTCGCAAATGGTCTCCCTTGAGGAGAAAGATGGACCCATAACCCATGACAGAGATAGCAACATACTAGTGGAGGAATTGTATGTGGATCTCTCTGGAAAAAAAACATGACGCATCCCAGGAATCAAACCATATTTCAGGTGGCCAGGAGGAAGTTCAAAACGTTACACTTATAGCGGTCAACACAGCCCCTTCACAGATATCAAAAAGGGACAGCTCCTGGACTGTGGAGATGTATAACTGAGGAAAATATATGAAGACTCGAAATACTAGTAATTTTAGATATGGGTTACCATGATGAAAATGTAATAGTGAATCACACATCGGCTTCAATCATATAATTGATACGTAATTGGCAGGTGTTATGTGCTTTCCATTATCTATATTTATCGAGCTTTCGTACCAGTTGTAGAGCTACTCACATCCAGCGTAAGTTTGGACTTAAAAATGCAAAAAAAATGTCCCCCAAAATGATAATTTATCTCATGTGACTTGGCAATAGCTGATTATTGGGATCAGCATTCATAACAATTTCAGGCGTTAGTTCACTTTTACACATAAGAGGTTTCGTGAAAACTACCACCAATGAGGTGAGAAATTAAAACACATTTTCACTCGTAACCAATTCGATTTTCTCGTGTTAATATTCAGCGCCTGTCCGAACACGTGTGCTTTCGTTTCAGGGCACTATGTGCGGGACATATGTGTGTACGGCGAGGGTGACCTGGAGTGGCTGACCAAGAGAAGCGATCTGTTCGCCAACAAATTCGAGATGCAGCGCTACCCGCTAGTGTTGGAGTGCCTGGAGCACTGGCTTCGGCAGAGAACCCTCAACGAGTCGGAGGTCAGAATCCAGCCCAGCTGGAGGATTCCCTAACCCAGGGATGCATTCAAACTTCACAACGAACCCGCTGCGGCTGTAAATGTGTATCGACTGCAATCGCGTACGCAATTTGGGTCCCAAAGAGAGTGATCCTTGCCTCTTCTTGGTTCTTTCGGTAAAGTCATGTAGAAGGGAAATAATAAAATAATAAAAATAAAACATAATAAAATAATTCTCACGACGTTTCGGCCACAACGCAAGCAGCCGTCCTCAGGTGAAGAACAGGTCTGTCGGAAAGACAGCGTTCAGACGCTGTCTTTCCTACAGACCTGTTCTTCAGCGTTCAGACGCTGTCTTTCCGACAGACCTGTTCTTCAGCGTTCAGACGCTGTCTTTCCGAGAGACCTGTTCTTCACCTGAGGACGGCTGCTTGCGTTGTGGCTGAAACGTCGTGAGAATTATTTTATTATGTTTAAATTTAATTATTGTATTATTTCCCTCCTACGTGACTTTACCGAAGAAACCAAAAAGATGAATCCCTGCAGTCACAATAGCTTTAAATCGAAATTCGATCCTTGCCTGTTACGCAGAACCAATTCATTCTCCTGGCCCTGACTCACCGTGGGCTGGAGCTCATGACAATCCTCAAGATTACCAGCACCAGTCGGTGGCCTTGCACTTCCTCGGTTCGCTTGCGATGGTTTTATGTTGAGTTGTTAATTGTGATGGAATCCGTTAACTTTAAACGTAACATTTAAAAGGGATTTGCTCCATCTGAATGTAATTTTCTGCCCGTGAGTCGAGACACATGGCACTTTTTGACTGAACGATGCGTTTGCGGTTCCACGTATCCCTCAGCGGTCCACCGAGTGCAAATGTTTCCGAAAGAGTTGCGTTGCTGTGAATTAAAATGACATATTTTTCCGTGTTTCCCAAAACAAGTGTAAGCACTCATGAAGGAATGATTGCTGCCGTTGACGTTTTTATAAAATATAGACTTTAAAAATAATATATAAATATATAAAAACCTAAATGATTATGTGATCATTAATGTGGTTACTTTTAACGATTACCTAAGAACTCTTTGTCGAGTACATATCTGACTTTGTGAAAGTGCCTGATGCATATATATATATATATATCAAATGTATAAACTTTCTATTTGCAAATTAAATTTTTAATATATATCTACAGCACAGCGACCCTGACGTGAATCTAATGACAGGATAGTTCTGCGCGACTGTCCTGCGTAGGTGCTCCTGCGTAGATGTCTAACGTCCCGCTTCACGTGTTCGGAGTTGCTTGATGTGGAATTAATTAAGACGCTCCCAGCACTGGAGCAAAACATCGGACATTGTTCCGAGCAACATGCTGTGTGTGTCAACCTGAAAACGCATCTGAGAGGATTAGCCTGTGCCATTGCCTGTATCGTAAGATGTGCTCAGTCAACTTGCCATGCACCATTTGTGACAGGACAGACAGCATACACATTTAGCCACGTGGCTCGATGAATAGAAAAACAAAATCGACTGAAACTCACATGAGATGACGTGCAATTATTTTCATTATTGCTTTATTCTCAAAACACGCAAAGCACTCACTCGTAATATAAATGGTAAAACAACTCAAGGCAGGATCCTGCTGAAATCTTTTGTGGATAAATGAAGCTTTCCTGGATAAATCCAGGGTGATATAGTCGTCATTATGCGAAAGCTCAATAATGAAACGAATAAATAAACGTGCGTGTGTGCGATATCTCTATTGTCAAGAAAATATAAATTATTCGTTACATCCCTGAAAAGGAGTCATGCTTTAATTACAATTGTCTTTAAAACATCCTGTGAAATATGAATGTGTGTAAAAGTGCAACTTACTTATTTGTGAATTAATCTATACGATGTTATTTTTGTAATATGTAAAAGGGCTTACATAACTACGAATGTTATCTTGAACAGTTGCAATATTTAAACTGCCGCATGTTAAAAAAAACATTCTTGCCAAATATGTACTCGTGTGTAAGCTTGAACAGAAACAGAACACCGCACTCCACTGGCCATTATACAAATGTTTATTGCTAATTTGTCTGTTGTAATAATCATGCGAGATTTTTTCATAATTAAAGTACATGAAAAAGGGGCTTATATCACTATAAGATCGTGAAAAATTTCAACGTATAAACCGGCTTGCATATAATTTCTCGAAACAATGTGAATACAGTTCATCCCGTTGAAGCAAGGCGAATATTACCTTACAGTAGCAAGTCACAAAATGGTACTGGACCGAAACTGGAATGTGTGCTTGAAACTCCCCATATGGTCCATGGCACCGTGTGCAACGGTGACTTGTACAGCCCACGATTGGGTGACATGTCTACATTTAAACGGGAACGCAGTGCTGTTACCTGTACGAAGCACGTAAGAACCACATTATGGGGTTTAAAAAAAATTAGTGTGCAACCGTGGCACGGATATTCACTGAATATCCGCAGGTGATTTTTTTGGAGTCACAGAAAAAATACCTGGTGCGAATGAGAATGCTCTGTTGATGTGAAAATAAATGTCATATCCAAGTGCCTCACATCAAATGACCCTCATTATAATGCGAGATTCCACTGATATAAAATAGCACACTGTAAATCATACTTAATTCGTGCAAAAGGAAATTTACATTGAAGGTCAGATTTCACTGGAAATGTTAGGATGTGTACAGAATTGTTACGCTGCTGCAATCGTATCAGATATAGTCTCCTATCTTATTTTAGTAGATTTTATACGTGCAATGTTTTTGTATTGGTTGAACAGGGTCCATAAATGATTGTTGGGAGTTTATGAATGCAATGCAGACGAGCCCCACACTCCTGGATGTTGTTAGTTTGAGTTGTTATTGAGAATTAGTTCCATATATGAGAGTCAACAAAGGTGTGTGTTTTTTCTATCATAGCAATGTGTACCCTTAACCACTTGCAACTGGAATTAATAATGTGATTTTGCATCACAAACCTAGTTTTGCACATAACCACGCATAAGTGAAGAAGCTTGGAGAAATACATGTTCATTGCATGGCATTGAATGTACATTCTTTTGATCACCGAGTTCAAGAGTTGATGCTATGTAAAATTGCGTAAAAGTCGCGTATCTTTCTGGCAATCGTGCATTTTCCGATGTTTAATCATGGTCGTGGCTTCGTAACATTTTGGTAAATGTCAAAGGTTTGTATATTCTGTACTGCCACCAGTTGACTGTGGGGTTTGGAAATATTTGTGAACATTCATAATAATATCTGATTGATTTAACCATAGGACAAAATAAAAAATAAAAATACTGTAAAGGGATCTATGTTCCGTCTATCCACGTAAAAAAGTAACACGCGTGTTTTAGTCATCGATCTCTTGGCTTTCCAAGCCGATATTATCCAGCAGCAATTGTTCAATGAAGCGAACATCGCAATGGAGGATCACAGAGGTTGGGCAATGGTTGGTGCGGGTATTGGTTCATCACTGCTTAGTTATGGTATAACGCACCAAGAACACTTCCCTATGAGGACAAAAAAAATACGCAACATAAATGTCTAAAACATATATCAATATATAACATTATAGGGGGGGAAATTTCAGGTTATGATTTTTTTCTTTCTTTATTGGCAGTGTCCTTTCAGAATGTGTTAAGTTTTTGTTTTTTGCGTTGGTCGACCAGTGAAAATGCAGTTTCATGCGTAAGTGGTGGTGGGGTTGGGGGAATGTTTGCTGTGTGAGCATATTCAGCATAATGCCAACTACAAACTAGTAGCATTGGAATAAGAATACTGTTGCATTCTACATTGATGTTAATATATTTTGTAGAATTTAATTTTTGTTTTGCTGTGAAACATACGACATACTTTTTAAAATTTCTAATTTATATCGATTTTGTAATGGCATTCCATTCCCACTGTGCTAATGTAATACTTATGCGATCCTTTGCAATGTATGTTGTGTGTATGCGAATACATTGTTTAAATGCATTTACCAATTGCATCAAGACTGATTTTTTTGCATGAGAAGAATCACGGTTTTCCCATATCACACTTCTTTGGCATGTATCTTTATAGTACAAGATTGAGAATCAAAATTTGACGATGATCTAGAGATATATCGTGGATTCTTAATTACATATACTGTATAACTAAAATAAATTTCCAAGGCCGATTACAGTCTAAACATCATGATATTAAAAAATTATATAAGACTTGTCTGTTGAGTTTAAAACAGATTAATAACACGCAACAATATACACGCCACTTCTGGGTGAAAGCTCCCCCACATATCACCGACCATTGTGGTTTTCTTCCCATTCTTTAACCTTTCAACTGAGTATAGGTTGGAGGAGGTGGAGACCCAGGACTGTTTAACACGGAGGCTTTCGCGACCAATATCATCCATCACATAGGTTTTTTGGGTTAGATCGAGTAAGTATAAATGTGCCGTTAAACCCTCCATCACCCGACAGACAACTAGCAAGGCTTGTCACGTAAACAGAACATGCAAATGTGTTACGAGTACCGCACAACGGTGTGTTGGAGAGAAAATCAACAACATTTACAATCTGAGTACGAACCCGGATAAGTTCAAATATCACTCGCCACTGATGCTAACCGTGACCAGGAATATAAAACCGAGGTAGCCGGGTTCGTGCTTCAGTGTGCTGAGCACTGTGCTACCACTCTTCATCACTGATATTGGTCAGAAAGGGATTCTTGCAGAGACACATCTTACAAGGCAACCAAGACATACAAATTAGCTCACCATAACCACAGTCGGAGCCATTATGTAAAGGCTGCCAAGGACAATCATCGTTTGTCCTCAATAGCTGTTAACCTCAGAAAGCCAGTATCAAAAATGGAGATGCTATGGTGACTTGATGTTTTTTACCTCGCTTGGTATACAGGGGGTCGTGGGTTTGATTCTGACCATGACGCCTGCTGTATATTTGGAGTTTGCACGTTATCCCTGTGGTCGTGTGGATTTTCTCCAGGTCCTCCGTTTTTTATCCTCCACATCAATATACGTGTGTTTAGAGTATTTGGCTGCTATACATTTCCACATGATAAACCACTTCGTTACGCTATCATCTGTGGGTCAGGTCGCTTCTGAAAGAGATATATAACGCAGTGGTCCTTACCTGGGAAAATAATAGTTTACTAGTTTCTTTTTATTGGAACGAAGTGCACTT